ATGTGGATGTTGTCTAATTCAGTAGTTGTGTTAATGAAGGGTAAAACCAATTGATAAACATATTATTATTGATCCGAGCGATTGAGTTACTCAAAGGTAACAACCTTAAACTTTGATTTCCAACAACACTAAGACGAATTTAAAAACATCTATGATGTTATAGATATCGTTTGTTTTGAAGGTCTTAAAAACGCCTAATTCATTTCAAAGGCATATCAGCTAGTGTCTTTATAATAAATAAAAGATTATAAATTTTTTTTCAATAGAATATATATTTATCATAAATTGATTTGTATGAAACACGTTTTTCGATGTTGATTATTTTTTCTTCTCTAATGTTTACTCCATTCTCATTTCAGCTTGATCTTTATAGAAATTACAATAAAACAAAACATACAAAAGTATATGATGAATTAATGTCATTCATATGTCAATTACCGAATTTTACTCATCCACTTACTGTAAGTATTATTAAATATTCTAGGTATTAATAATCATTATAAATAATAATTATCATTTTAACTTAGTAATTCATTCTTTGTTTGTTCATTGTAGCCGATCGGGGATTCATCAAAAGCACGTCATTTATATATTAATGGATCTAAACGTGAAGGTGAGTTACTGTTTAGCTAAATGTTATTATTTAGAGGTTTATTTATTGTGTAGATAGTTTGACATGATATCCATAGGGAAACTGTTGAAAATGGAGTTATGGTTAAGAGTTGTTTCACTGCAAAGCTATACATATTTTTCACAGGATTAAACTCATAATAGTTACGTTTGAAGACAAGCACATTGTTTTTATATTACTTGCTGCTACAATGCACTTAAGTGTCAATGTAATATAACTCTATAATGTGATTTCCCTTTTTATTCATATACATATATAATATCCATTTACAAGAAATACACGTCCCTTATTTAAAATCTTATAAACAATATTCATTTCATATTGAAAATTTAAGTAAATAACTATGAATTTATTTCTATTTCAATGTAATATTTACAATCAGAAAACTGGAAACTTTTAGATGCAATCAGTATAACTTCAGGTTCAAAGCATTCTTCAATCAATCATAATAATATCAACTCTTCTATATCATCTATCAATCCTGTTAGTCATCTTCGTGTAAAACATACAACTTTAGGTGCTGGACATAGAACCTATTATTTTAGTGGACCATTAGCACAATTAGAATCTGCACTTATTGCATATACTGTGGATCGATTGAAGAAAAGTGGATTTGAATTTGTTTCTGTACCTGATATTCTACCTGAACCTATTATCAAAGCTTGTGGTTTTCCAACTCAAGGAATTCGTTCACAGGTAATACATTTCTTGTATGATTTATTGATTTCCTATTATTATGATGTAAACATTTAGTGAAATATCAAGTGATACTGTTGAAATATTTCAAATCAAACTGGTTTTCGTATGTTGCATAAATTTTATCTCAATTGTTATAATCATAGAATAATTTTGTTTTTCGTCAGTATTACCAAAACACTACCATTATAGTGATACGGTAATAGTATTTTTACTTTAAGAAAATGTGATAAAAAATTTTGTTTTTAAAATGCTCCAGTTAGATTTGTAACATTTACAGTTCATATTCATATGTGATCTTATCATTAACAAGTTAGGAGTTTGATTTCAATATTTGGGAGCTTAATATTCTTAACTTACTTTAAACACCGTGTTGATATTCGTAATCGTTCAAATAGACTGTGGAGTTGTTTCATTTCTATGACTGAAAAACATCTGGAACTCAAAACAACTGTCAACCAACTTCAAGGTCAGAATTTTCAATTCGCACGACGAAACAGTCCTATTGTATAAAGCTGAAACTAGGTGAGCTCCGAAAACTATAGTTCAAGAGATACAAGTATGTATAAACAATTGTCTACTTAAGATATTCCGAACCCATTGGCCGGACACCATCAGCAATAACCTACTGTGGCAGAGAGCAAAATAACTTCCACCTGAGGAAGAAATCGGAAAACACTGGATGTAAACAGGATGGAGAAAAAACAACTACTAATAGATCGAAAAGAAGGATCCCTCATCAAGATACTAAAGAAAGGCGATCTCAACAAGTGTGCAAACTACAAAAGCATTACTCTTCTCGCAATAGCAAGAAAATTCTTCATTCAACGGAATGAAAGATTGAGTAGACGCCCAACTTCGAGATCAGCAGTCTGGATTTTGCAAGGATAGATCATGTACCAACCAAATCGTGACACTACGAGTTATTGTGGAATAATCAAATGAATGGGATTCACCACTAAACATCAACGTCCTTGAGTACGATAAATTTTCAAACAGAGTGGACAAGTTGACACTATGGAGGCTCCTTCGACACTACAGAGCATCAGTAGCATCTTATTGTGGGAAATAAAAAACCAGATTCCAGCAGACAAAATATCAGGAAGAAGCGCCGGAAGTGTATAAGACACACATTGAGGAAATCACCCAGCTGTGTCACAAGACAAGCTGTAACCTGTGATTCTTGATGCCAAAGGAAAAGAGGAAGACTGAAGAACACATTACGTCGAAAGTCGGGAGAAGATATGGAAAAAACTTACAGGAATTAGGTAAAACTGGAAAAGTAAGCATAGGACAGAGTTGTTTGGAGAATGTTGGTCGACGGCCTGTGCTCCACGAGGGATAACAGATGTAAGTAAGTAAGGAGGTAGATAAGATACTGTGGAAATCGCCCAACTGCGTGACAAGGTAAGCCCTAATTCGGAATCCTCAAAGCAAAAGGAATAGAGAAATATCAACGTACACATTGCACTGAAAATTGGGAACAGACAGCAAAAGAATGGATAACGAATGAGAAAAGTTGGAAAGAAGAACTCATGAGAGAGTTTGGAGAATCCTGATCGGCGGCCTATGCTTAAAAAGCGTTAATAGGCACTAAATTAGATATGTTTAATTGTAAAATATACTCATATCTGATATCGAATACCAAATCATTTATGTACACATAGTGCTTTGTTTCTGAAACTAAATAGTTCTACATATCACTAAATACTGTTTTAACAGTTTAAAATATTTTGAATTTATGAATTATTTTAATAACCGTAGAACAATTATAATGAATAACCAATAACTCCAATCATTTGAAAACAGTAGGTTTTCTCAAGTAATAAATATAATTTCAGGGAAAGCCTGTGTGCAACTACTCTTTAGGATACATTTCTAAAATTAGTAAATTGAAATAGTTACTTGCTAGTCGGTTCATCAGGAATTCTGCGATATTTTTCATGAATATCTATTTTTACTAATTAATGTATGATTTGTAATTTCCATTTTTTTTATTCTCACTCACCTACGATTTCTCAATTCGTTATACTACAGATTTATGAAATAACCCCACCTATATCTAAATTAACTTATTGTCTTTCTGGAACATCTGAAATTGCATTAGCTGGATTTTGTGCTGGTCGATCCTTTAATTGTACTTCATCTGAAAATGATAGATCAGATGAATCAAATCAATCTTCTGCACTTGGTTTATGTGCTGTGAGTCGATGTTTTCGTAAAGAAGTTCCTAATCAAGAGCCAACTCTTTATCGAGTACATCAGTTTACTAAAGTATGTACATTCAATTAAATTTAATTACTTGTTATTTAAAAAGTTTGAAAATTAGCGATTCTATCAATGGATTTCCAATCTAATTTATAGGTGTATACTATCGTTATAGTCATTCATTATAAATTAAATTCTTTTTATAGTTTTCATATGTTAGTGTCTCTGAAGAACTGGCTACGTTTGATATTCACATATTACTACCAAATATCTAGTCTAAAAAATAATGTCGTGTTGCATGTAGAATCTGATAATTAAGTACCTTGTCACTGTAATGTATATCCTGGTTCTCTTAAATATTAAAAATTATATTTAACTTATTAATTTCAAAACTTAGACGGTTTTCTTGTTATCAGGATACCTGACAGAACGTTTCGTCGTTCTCTTTCATATTTCAAATTCAAAATGTCTAAAGTCTGTCGGGACTCCAAGTAAGCAAAACATACAATAATTACTATCATAACTGCTATCTCAGATATAAATATATAAATTTTGAATTATACATAGAAATATACGTATTTTCTGTAACACAGCACTGGTAAACCGGTCGAAATAAACGCTTCACATAGTTGTATAGTAAGCACCTTATTCTTTTGATTAGAGCGACTTATTTTTATCTTCAAATTTTCAAATATGACTAATACTTTATCGAATGACTATAGGTATCCTTCATCAGTCTAAGTGCATTGATGATTGAAGTACTTATTTGGGCGTTAATTACTTTCTTGTTCTAACATGCTTGTACAACCAAATAGCTTCGAAAGTAAAATCACAATGTATTCCTGTTGTACTCTATTATATACGAGAACTTGTTTGAGCTAACTGTCAATTGTACTAGATAAACCTTTTAGAAAACATTTAAAAGAATAGATTTCAAAACTTTGTCATGTGTTTCACTTATAATAACAACTAAAGGTAATTCAATTCTTCATGCTTTGTAATTGTATTAATATGTTATTTATTTTCATTCATAGGTAGAAATGTTTGCTATTACTGCACCTTCATTATCTGTTAGTGATGCAATGTTCAATGAAATTATTAAACTGCAAATATGTCTATTCGCTGATTTAGGTTTGCATTTTAGGTAAATCAGTTTGTTTTAAGATTGGACCATTTTGTAGAAATATCAATTATTATTAATTACAATCCATAGTTTATTCTCATGAACATTCTAGATATAAGCCGTTCTCATACTATCATTACATGATTTCATGATTTGAAATAAGTTCTAAATCAACAGGCCTAAGATTTCTCTATTAATTTAAAGGATAGTAGTGGATCACAGTTGCTTGTGTGCTATCCGACTAAACGGGACATTAAGGACATGGTGTGCGGTAGTTGGTTGTGTCGACCGCCTCACTTATCTGGGGAGTCTCATCAGAGTTGATGGACTGGTGACTGACGAAATCTCAGCATTGATACAGAAGGCTCGATTGGATTTTGCCAACCTACGTCACTAATGGCGTCGGAGAGATGTCGGTCTGCTAACCAAAACACGAGTCTACTGAGCAGCAGTCCGCTCCGTCCTACTTTGCAGCTGTGAAACACGGTGTTACGCCTGCACGTAAACACGTCAACTTGATATACTTGGACTATTACGAGTTTACCTAGTCGGAAAACGAGATCGAGGATCCGGTGACACGACATGCTACTCAAATCCGATTATCCCAACCCCCATATTCAGTGAAAATAGAAGACATGATATGAAGTAAAATCTGTATTCTACAAGCATCCAGAAAGTACGAGGTCCGAATCCAGAAGAGAATCAGGATCCCGGACTAGGGATCCGGGACCGAGCCCTAGTTATGGTCATAAAATGTTACCAATAATACGTATTTATACATTTTGGTCGAATAGGAAACAGCATCGAATTCTGTGGCATTGACAGTTAAGACGACCAATAGGAAGTAACATTTGAAATGACATTGACAGTCCGGATGACCAATAAGAGACAACATTGAAGTATTTGACTCTGACAGTTGAAACGACCATAATTTTGACCAATAGGATTTGGCCAATAATTCTCTTAGGGTATTGGATGAATATCCGAACACACGGACATTAAGAAGAGACGACATTCACAGGTTACTGGTATTCGATCATAGGTGTCTCTGGGAAAACCGAGTAAGCAATGGTGTTGTTAGGAAAAGAGTACTAGGTATGGATAGCAGATCAATTGATGAAGTAATGAATCTTCATCTGTTGAGGTGGTTGGAACATGTGTTACGATTGTCTAACCACCAACTACCTCATCAAGCTATGTTTTGTGGTGTAGGAGTAGGTTGGAAGAAAGGTAGGGTCGGCCAAACCAAAACATGGCAGAAATCCATGAAGTCACTGACACGTGGACTGAGTCATGTTGGTAAGTGTGGACTAGTTGGTTGGGGTTCGTGTGATTATCGCAATCGATGGTTAGAGACCTTGAATGACATGACTAAAAACCGTTTGTAATGGCGCAGATGCATCCACTCTTTGTGTTCTCGCAAAATACAATCTACTGAATTCCTCATGACCGTCTTTTCGCTCACATTTATTTTTCCGGATGGTACTTTTTGAATAATAACTTCGAACCCAAATCTTCTCCATCACCGCTTATACCGCTTGTATGTCATCTTGAACGGATGTAATTACGTACAAAGTTTTATGTTGTCACTGACTGATGGTGGATTGTAGGCTTCAATATATATATATATATATATATATATACATATATATATATAAGCGTCGATTGGTTTTTATACTCAATATATTATTAATTTTCATATCTTTATTAACTCAGAGTTCTTGAAATGCCATCGGAGGAGCTTGGTGATTCAGCTTACAGAAAAGTTGATATTGAAACCTGGATGCCAGGTGATCAAATGTACGGAGAGGTGAGTTGATAATTATATGAGATTTTCGGGGTACAAGATTTCATCTATTTTCTTCAAATATGGTTGTTCTCATATTCCTCTACTTCATTCTCTTTCTGAAGATAGGTACTTACCGTTCGAAAACCGCATACATCATACCACGTTATGAGTCTGCAGACGAAACTGACATCAACCCATGAATACCATTCCACTTATTTGGGAAACATTAGGAAAACTTGTTGATGACAAAATTTTAACTATTTAGTCACAGAAAGTCTTATCACTGGTTCTCAGCATGGCTTCCTCGACACTGGATTTTGTACAACCTGACACTGACTTTTTCAATTTCTGCTTTGCTCAGTGTAATCCAGAACATCTAATCTTAATCAATCAATCAGTAAGTCACAACGTAGAACTTGGTAAGTAAGTACATCGGTTCAAGTTGACACAACATTAGTACTGAGACATAGAAATGTTAGTTCAAATCCCATAGTAGTAGAGGTAGTAGAAGTAGAAGCGGTGATGAAGAAGATTAGGATTCGAAGATATTATTCAAAAATTATCATCCGGAAAAATAAATGTAAGCGAGAAAACGGTCATGGGGAATTCAGAAGATTGTATTTTGCGAGAACACAAAGAGGGGATGCATCTGCGCCATTACAAACGGTTTTTAGGCATGTCATTCAAGGTCTCTAACTATCGATTACTATCATCTCGTCAACCTCAACCAGCTAGTCCACAAACTGGATCGGTCCCATCTTTTGTTCGTTGTGATGATGCTTTCTTCTCAGATACATCGTTGAAACATAAATAGGAGGTCTATTTGAGAAAATTAATGATTCCCAACGGATGACTGACACTGCAGTAGCTCATGTGTAAAAATGTATCACCTAAACAGTTATCGAACTAACACTTCAAACAATCTAATGTCCTTTATGTTTAACATTGCTGTTTATGTCAAACTGATCATCCCTATAAATTGGAATGGATTCTGTGATTATTCCCAGAATATCAACTGAATAATTGGATCAAAAGTCGTAAAATCAGACAGAGATATAGCGAGCATACTACCAAGTGGCCTATTGAGAATATCCTTCTTATTTATTGTCCGAACGAAACATGAAAATGTCACATCTGTCCACCCTGTTTTTAATCCAGCACTTATAAGCCGTTTTATCCATATTTTATACGGCTTCATGTGTTCTATTTTACACAGATTTCTAGTTCATCAATTTGCCTTGATTATCAGTCGAAACGTCTAAATATTCGATGGCAAACATCTAGAGACCAAGATGAATTTGCTTACACTGTAAGCATTTGTATTACGATTATGATATGCTTAATTATTTTAACTTTTATCTATTTTTGACTAATTTTTGTAAAATTAATATTCCATCTGTGAACGTTTGTGTTAGCTAAATTCCTATGGATTTGTGCAACTATAATCCATCTAATAAGTTAGTGGGTTTATAATAATGAATTGTGCATTTATTAAAAGTCTTTCAGATTACAATACAATGATCATTATAAAGTATTATTTTGCCACGAAGCTAGTGAGATCATTGAATCGAATTTTGAGTAGCTAGTTAGGAATCATTAGTTGGCCTTATTGCTCACTGAAGCAAAATTTGTAAAACTGTCCCCAGATAATTCTGGTTGTCAGTAAAACTATGATAAATTTTGAAAGTGTATATTTTATGTAGTACCCGGAGGTCATTAAGAAAACTTATTTATGTGTAATGTATTAAGTCTAAATTTATTTAGTCAGTCTAGGGCCGGTGTTTGCAACGGTATTTTTTTAATTTATAAACTTCAATCAACTTATTCCTTGGGTATTTGGATACGAGCTATACCTTGAATGTGAGGTCTGATGATACAATCCGGTTACCCAAACTGAAGTAGTGCGATGCTCGAACCCGGGAATCGGTGTCCGAAAGTCGTACGCCTTAAACTTGTGAATAATCGTAACCTAGTGTTTGAAAGGCATGGTGAATAGTTAAGTGTTCAAAGTTATGGACATATAGCTCTTAAACTAATTCATGCATCCAACCAAAAACTGACTTGCAGTACTAATTTAAATACAACAGTCGGTACACTAAAAACCGAAACAGTTATGGTTGAATGAGAATAATTAACTTGATAGTTCATCAATCCTCACATGCTTTTAGCTTCATTTGTTAGTTTATTCAGTGATACAAAGATAGTTATCTTTTAATAAAATAATGATAATAATGACATCCTTGATGGTCAGCCACCTTATTACTTTTCTGGTACTTACAGTTAAATGGAACTGCTTGTGCAATCCCACGTATAATGAAAGCTCTAATAGAGACCCATCAGACTCAGGTATGTGGATTCCCTAATTTTCAATTATGCATAATGTCAGTTAGTTATCAGTTATATTGTGGACGATTTTTGCTCACTAATAATATGCACAACAATAATAAATCTTATCGGGTTAGATTTTGAAAGACGCCTAAAGGTGCTCTGCAGTTGAAGGTTTCGTTTTTGAAGTAAAGACATCAGTACACGCTATAAATTGTACGACTGCCGATTATTTTTCCACTAAACAAGTATGTTTTAATAGTTTGTATTTGTAACGAAGGATGTGACCTGTCGTGCGAAATTCATTTAGATGAAACTAACATAAGATACCATCTACCGAAATAAACCAATATAACTAAGAAACGTTTCCATAGTTTTCAGTTTTTACTATTTCGTCTGAATCAACGCAACTGATAATCTTGTCTACTCAGTCGCAATTCGATACCCCATATTATAAATTGCTGCTAGGGGCGTTTTAACATATACAGAATATTACACTATTCTCTTCGCTTGCTTTTTTCTCATTGTTAGGCCTAACTAATACCGAGTATTTTCTGTAATGAAAGTCTAATATATCCAAATTCCTTTTCGTAAATGAATATAGTGTACATGTATTGTTATGCTGACTGTGAATTTCCTAAACACTTGTTTACTTAAGTATTATTTTTAAAAAAATCAATTTTTATTATATCTTTGATACATCATTCGTAAAAACCAGTTCAATGTTGTTTTGCCTATTTTTTAAATGCTTCATCATTGATTTCACGGCAAAAACAATACAACTAGGAATATTTATAATTTCTGATATTTTTCTCCAATGAACAAGAAAAAATATTGTCTTGTTTCTTTGAAAAAATCTTTGGATCAGAAATCTAGCATAAACGGTCAACTCAACTTCAGCGATAGCTTGAAGTCATTTCTTAACTAGCCAATCCCAACTTCATACCTCATTCTACCTGGTTTGGTTGGGGCAAATGAGTGATATCAATAAGCCTCATGCAAATAGTGCAGCTCTAAAACTGTACTTGATATTTAAGTTGTATCAACTTTACTTAGAATTTGAGTCTTACTAATGCGTGTTCATCGTATGATCCAGCATTGATTTGCATTAGTATCTGCACTGAACTAGACTCAACTATATATGATTAAGATGAACCCATTCACTAGCCAAACTCAATATTTCTCTTACCAGCAAACCTAAAGGTAATTTTATGAGCTGTCTTTATCTATACTGAAGAACTAATCTACTCTATTTATCCTATTTTTAGGACAGGCATATTATCATTCCAGATGTTTTAAAACCTTATATGAAAATGGAAAATATTTACCCAGAATTTCAAATTAAACGTGCTGTTAATGAAAAACCGTAGGAAATATTTACGATGTATGATAATAATACTTTTATCGAATTATTTCTGTACAAAATTAATAATTTATGAATGTACATTATTATAGTTCATTTGAATTTACCAGGGTTTATTTTTCTAATCATGCGACGTCGATTTGACTGTTTGTGTGGATACTTGGTACTTAAATCATATTCTGCTGGAAACTGTCTTCATCGGTGTCTTCATCTTGAATTGTTGTTAATCTATCTTTACCCCTTGCTCTGGAAGCTTTGAATTCAGGCATTTTTTCTCCAAATGCTTCAAGCTCTTCATGAAGAGACATCATATTCTCTGCTAGGTCATTTGACCATACAGAAATAGGCAATTTTTCAATTTCATCCATTTCATCATACTTTCGAAAAACAAAAATGAATATCACTACGTTACAAAATAAAATTTAACAGTATTAATCATTAAAACCTATGATTTCTTGTCAATAATTTGAGTGACCCCATTATAAATAACGCACAATTCTGTACCCACCCAAGTTACTGAACTTTATAACAACAATGGATACGAAGTTGACAGAATAAATGGACAAGAATGCTTAATACCTAAAGAAAGTTAAAGAGTTTATATATGCGCACTATGAACTCTCACTCAATGCACAGAAACCGAAATTTTCCAGAACGTTATATCTTAATCTATGGCTTAACACGCCTACCTCATTTGGTTGGGTGGTCTTTGGAAATTGGTTTGATTTGAAGTCATATAGAGAACCCTTTGTCAGTCCGTTAAGAAAACTATCTTGAAACTCAAATGACTTTAGTTATATTTTATAACAGCACCTAATAATTATTGTATTTAATATACGTCCATAAACATGACATATATAAGTACTTGTTATAAAATATGAAGGTATATTTACACAGGAAATATAGAATATGAAAAATCTAATTTCATCCATTACTTTCTACACAACTTTATAATCTAACGTTTTCAACACAGACAATGAAGTTAGGACACTTACACACCAATCTCCGAAAGATGAATACTTTTGAACTGTTCGGTTCCGAATAATGGATCTTTCAGTTTTTTCTTCACTAGCTAATGAAACACGCCATTCTGACAGTAGTGTTTTTATTTTGTTGCTGATATCAACTTTTGTGCGTTCATCGATGCTAATCCATTTAGAGCCATAACAGTTTTCATCGGTAGAATATGTGAGACACTTCCCTCCAGTTTTAAGAGCTTCTTCATAGTTCCCTAATAAAGCATGAGTCTACAAACAAAAAGGTATTGAGCAATATGACTTAGTTAGAAAGGCTTATATTACTCATTTAATGTGAAAGTTGCATCAATAATGATTTCGAGATGGTGGAGAAAACTTGTAGCTCAGGTGGATGATTGTGGTGGTGTTTTGTTCTCTGAGCTGGTTGTTTTGGTTGTGGAGCTTTCATTGTAGACACACATTTGATTGGAACAACGTGGAAATACTAGGTAGGGGGAGGACAAAGAACACTAGAGAATTTTTAGAAGCTTGGCACTCAGGTCAATTAGCAATCAACAAACACATCGACATTGACCCAATTTATCAACCAATCAGGAAAATCATAGGTGACACTAGATCAAGAAACAGATCAAAAGAGGGAGGCAATCAAAACATAGTTGCAAACAACGACAGGTCAAATGTCAACAACAACCAATCAAGATCGAGGTTAGCAGAACAAGCTACAGGTCAAACGTGGAGAAATTCTAATGCTTCACTTCTATCTGAAGTTCGTGCTGATGATGTTGTTCAGAAGAACAATGAAAGCTCCACAACCAAAACAACCAGCTCAGAGAACAAAACACCACCACAATAATGATTTCACTTGTAAAATGTCTTACATGTGTTACGCGTAACAATAAAAACCTTTACCAATCATTATATTTACGATTACTTCATACTATCAGAGAACATTAGCAAACTATGGTCTGTAGCACAGCAAATCTGGATGAATATAAACTGTACAGTAAGCAAACCTTGCTGATGAGTGCCCAATAGCGCGAAACCTATGTTCAGTGTTTTTTGCTGACTATCTCTAATCACTTTACGTTTCTGTGTAGAACAAACAAACCAGTCCAGTAATGCAGTTCAATTTCACATGGTGTACTAGGACTAATCTTAAAAGAACAAAAGTCAGACATGTTCCGTCAAAGAAGAGCAAGAAAACACAAGCAAAAAGTGTGCCAGTAACGCCTAGAATAATGACCGATACCCTACATTAGGTAATATATATATAACTAACCTTGGCTAAACGGAACCATGCCTTTATATAGTTTGGTTCGAGATTGACTGCTCGCTCACAGCATTTGATACATGCATAAAGGTAGTCGAATTGAGACTTCTTTGGATTGACAGTGCATGTCGTGCCAAATTTAAACAGGCAATGGGCTGCATTAGATAGGCAAATAGCTAATAATTGACGGGGACTAGGTTTTGATAATTGGTAATCTGTCATTGTTGGATCAGTATAGTTTTCATCAGTCACACTAATGCTTCCCTCTAAGATTCTGATAGCTTTTTTGTAGCAATTGAACGCACGAACCAATGATCCAATCTGGAATGCATATGAATTAATATTTAAAAACTGTCTTCAGATACACAACTTACGAAAAAATATCACTTCATACGAGGTTTTGTTGCTTTAGCTTGGTCCATAATACTTTCGTTTAAAATTGTTTGGTAAAAGCTAATGTCAGATATGAATAATCTTACTGCTTTGCAATAGTAAAAGATTAAACAGGTCTTCAACACTACCGTTGTACACAAATCACATCGGAATTAAAGTGTTTACCAAATACACCTAAGGAAAGTATGACTACAGAAAATTCAAAACCCTCAGTGCATATTAAATGCAAGAAAAGCAACAATACTCATGGCAACAGT